ATCCACAATGAACACAAGTGTGTTGTTATCTTCTATCTTCTTCATAGCTGACTCAGTGGTCAGGGGAAATTTGATGATGGCATAGTGGTCAAGCTTGTTTCTCCTGGGGGTGCTCTTCCGAGGGTATTTGGGCTGCCTTCGGAGTCTCAGCGTCTTAGGCCACCGGAAGGTGGGTGACGTGCTCATCTTCTTTTTTTTTTTTGGCTGTGGATGCCCTTCAGGACTGCCTTCTTGGCCTTTAAATGCCTTTGCTTTGGCTTCAGTTTTGGGAGGGGCAGGGGCTTCCTTCTTGGCTTTCAGTGCCATCTTCGTAGAAAAGCTATTCTTGGATCTTTAATAAGACTGACCTCTCCCTCTGGAAGCCCCAGTCCCACAGCCTGTTCATCCAGGGCTCTGCCATTCAAACCCCTTGATAGATTTCCTGCCTCCCAGCTCAGTCTACCAGGCCTTCCCTGAGGGCCCAGCATCTGTGTCAGAGCTATGGCTTTCTCCTAGCATTTCTTTCCTACAAGAGAGTCAGAAAATGGGACTGTAGGTTCAGATAATGGGGGGGTTGGGATTCCTACTGGGGAGAAAAAGGAAAAGACAGGGACCCACAGAGGAAGCACTCACTTAGTTGGAAGTCTTTCCCGGAGGAGGAGGCATTGTTGTTAGGGGGGGTGAAGAAGATTCTGAATGAATCAGCTTGGAACCTGAGGACTTTAGATTTTTTTCACAGGAAAATGGGTAGCCATGAATATTTTAAACAGGAAAGAGACACAATCAGATTTGTGTGTCACATCATTCTGGCTCCTGAGTAGAGAGGAGTAGCATTAGAACTAACAGAAATGCAAGATTTGTGTCCTGTTGGTAAGGGGTAGGGGCAGTAAGGTAGATAGTTATTTGTTACTTGGGGAGAATCTTGTCTAAAGCCAATGGAATGAATCTGTAATGGTAAGATCCAAGTATTGTTATAGAGAAAGGAGCCCTGGTGGTGCAGTAGTTCAGTGCTCAGATGCTAACCCAAAGGTCAGTGATTTGAATCCGCCTGCTACTCTGTGTGTGGGAAAGACCTGGTAATCTTCTATGAAGATTTCATTCTAGCAAACCCTATTAGGCAGTTCTACACAGTCTTGTAGATTGCTGTGGGTAGGAATTGACTCTAAGATACACAACAACAATGGCAGAGGGATTCCCCCCCTTCTCCCATTATACATATTTCTGATCCCAAGATCTACAGGTCATGTCTCCAGGCCAAAAGGTTTATGTCGTGAAACAAAGAAACTAGGTCTCTCTTTGTCACTTTCTTAGCTCTGGGCTCATAGAGATTTTGGTGAGCTGTGTACCTGAGGTTTTTTTTTTAAATAATTTTAATTAATTAATTAATTAATTATGTGTGTACCGTCAAATTGGATCTGACTGGTACAGGAGGCAATTGTTCCTCCTCCTTCAGCAGAGCATCTGGTGGATTTGAACCGTGCACTTATGGGATTGCAGTACAGTTTCCTGCCACTAGGCCACCAGAGCTCGCCGTACCTGAGTTCTAATAGCTCCTGATGTTCTTTGTTCCTGCCATAGTTGATGAGTGGGGAATTAGTGTATTTTGGATGGGGATGAGTGACACATGATTTTCTGCACATGATGATGATGATGGTTGTGTGTATGTATGTGTATGTGATTGGACATCAATCTCTGCTTTTAGAATCCCCTCCTATCTCTTATCTCAGAGGAGTTTGTGAGGACAGGACTTAGTCATGGGGGCTTAACTCTCTCTTCTTTTTTTTTTTAAAATTTTTAAATTTTTTTATTTTATTATTTTTGTGTGCGTGTACCGTCAAATCAGATCTGACATCTGACTGGTACAGGAGGAGATTGTCCCTCCTTCCCCGGCAAAGCATCTGGTGGATTTGAACCATTCACCTCTGGGATTGTAGTTGCAGCTCCTTGCCACTAGGCCACCAGAGTTCCCAACTCTCTCTTCTTTTGAGGTTTCCTTCTGACTTTGTGCTCTCTCTACTCATTATCTGTTCCCCAGCATCTTTCAGATCTCTGGTCCCTAGAACGATCAGGACTCTCTAGTCAGTTTAGATGCAGACCCTGTTCCCTTTAAAGTAACTGAGATTAGGGTTAGAATTTTCAGAATGAACATTTCAGGGAGTGAGAGACACGTTCCCACTAACTTGACTCAGGAAACCAGAGAGGCAAATAAGTCAAATGAGGCATGGGTGCCTCAGAAGTGTTAGATGAATATATATGATCCTGCTCCAGATAGAGGCTTTCCCATGTTCAGTGGTCATGCAGCTCTTCAAGGATGTTTGTCTTCTGAAAGCCCCCACTTATTGTACCCTCTCTATGCCAGATAATATCACATGCTTTATATATGTCACATTTGTATTTACAATCATCCTGCAAGGTAGATGATGTTTTCTCTAGTTTTCCAATGAGGAAATTGAAGCTCAAAGAGATGAGGTGACTTGCTTAAAATCAGCCAGGTACTAAAAGCAGAGCTGGAATGTGAGTTCAGGTTTGTATATGGACTCTAAAGCCTCCATGCTGCCTGATAACCCAGAATGAAATTCTGAATGTGGTCTCAAGCCACAGCCTCTGTCTTCACGAGTTCTACACTTACCTTCTTCTGACAGTGCTGAGAGGAATCCACCTTCTTCCCTGTGGAGGCTGGAATCCCTGGCTGGTCTTCACCCAGGTTCCCCCTACTTCATGAGCTGCATCAGCTTTGCCCTCATCCTCAGAGGCTCCGGGTACCCATTTAGAGGCGCTAACTTCTACTGGGAGAAAAGAAGGAATTGTCCAGAATTCCATTTTTGAAGACTAGTCTCTCCATAGTCAGCAAGGTTGTTCTATCATTGGGTTCTGTTACCATCTGGCCTTTGACAGAGGTCTTAAAAAAAACCAAAACAACAAAACCCAAAACGATGGAAGTTATGAGCTTTGACCTGTCAGCTTTCACAGCCCTGGAACCATTCAGAAATGTAGATTTTCAGATTCCATTTCAGACCTGCATTTTAAGACAACCAACAGGTGAGTAGCATGCACATTAAAACTTACTCTCTTGTTGTACAGGCAAAACACCATTTTTTTTAGCCATGTGAATTAACTCCTCCTTTCTCATCCTTAAGGAAGGAGGTTACAATTGTTAAGGAATGAGGAATTCTAAACATTGCAAAGGATGGATAGAAGAGATGTCCAGAAACAGGGTCCTTTTTCTTAGACTATATCAGCTTAGGAGTCCCTGCTTTCTCAGACTTGATCAAGATGGAGGAAGTCCTTCTAGGATCTCAGTCCCTCCAGCCACCTTGGCACACTTGTCTAGAGAAATGAGTGGAGTTGAGAGCAACCAGAGGAACAGCTGAGCTGTGCAGTGAGTCCAGCACTGTCACAGGAAACTCAGATGGTCTGTGGTTCATTGCTGCTCCACTCGACTGAATCAGAGACCTTACAACCAGTCATATGCCCTTTTCTGGAGGGTTCAGGGAGCATCTGAACCTGTTTGCAAAGGTGCCCAGTCACGAGCAGGTTTTAGTTTGAGGGGGGAATGGAGATAGTTTTTATGCCCCTGCTGTGAAATGACAGGATATTATGCTCAAGTCCTTGGAGGGGTGGTTTTTTGAGAGAGCTCTGTAGGTGGTTGGTTGAAATACTACATCTTGGAAGGGGTAGGACTGAAACAGAGCCATGGGGTGGCGGGAAGTGATCCTGATAGGTAAAGAGGTGGCTCTGTAGATGGGTAGAACTGGCTGAAGCCAGTGCCCAGATGGGTCACAACTCTCCAGGTACCCAATTACCTGCCGTCGGTGAGCTCGGCCATTGGTGGGGAGGTTCCTCAGCGCTATGTATGGCGCTTCTGCATCGGCCTGCACTCGGCACCCCGCTTCTTGGTGGCCTTCGCCTACTGGAACCACTACCTCAGCTGTGCCTGCCCATGCCCTGGCTACCGCCCACTTTGCCGTCTCAACTTTGGCCTCAACGTCGTCGAGAACCTTGCGCTGCTAGTGCTCACCTACGTCTCCTCCTCAGAGGACTTCAGTGGGTGCCTGGACGAGGGAAGAGCGGGGAAGGGTTCAGGGAGGGAAGTTACCCCACCTCCGTCAAGAAGGGACCCACTCTTCCACTCACTCTGCCTTGGGGTTTGGGTACTCCCTGTGGGTTTGGGCACTCCCTGCATGGCATGTCCCCCAACTGTCCTCTCTTCCATCAGCCATCCACGAGAATGCTTTCATTGTGTTCATCGCCTCATCCCTCAGTTACATGCTCCTCACCTGCATTCTCTGGCGGCTAACCAAGAAGCACACAGTAAGTCAGGAGGTACGGGTCTACCCCTAGCGGGGGCTTCAGATGCCCAGGAACAAAGCGAGGACACCTGTCCTCAGGATGTGGTGATGGTGAGGTGAGAACTGAAGTTCTAATGGGAACACTGATGAGTGGTGGGGGTTGGATTGGTCTCAGTCTAGGACTAGGTGTGGGTGTGTAACATATGGAGGCTCTAAATAAGTAGAATGAGGAGCTACATTCAGCCTGTCATGGGGTAAGAAGACGATCAGGGATTGTAGTCTTTTTACTAGTTTCCACAGTCAATCACATACACACCTTTCCTCTCCCCACAGTATTTAACACAATTCCCCAGAACTGGGATGGGTAGAGGCAGATTGCTCCTTGGTCTGACACACACTCCACCCCCAGGCAGGATTGTGGGCCTGCTGCCCCTGCCTGTGTCCTTTCTCATAACCCCTAGTGGGGAACCAGGGGAGACAAGGGAACCTTAGGAGCCTGGGCTGGAGGAGTAGCCTTTTCACACCCTCAGCAAGCTGCAGGGTGATAAAACAGCTCCTCCCTTAGGAACGAAAATCCTACAGCTGGAAACAGAGGCTCTTCATCATCAACTTTATCTCCTTCTTCTCGGCACTGGCTGTCTACTTTCGGCACAACATGTACTGTGAGGCTGGAGGTGAGGCCAGGCTGGGATCCACAAGTGGCCACAATGGCTGTGGGGTGGTTGTGATGTTTTCTATGCACAGTATGGCTTCAAGTCTTGGGGGCTGGCTGTTACTGTGTTCCCTGTGGTGATCAAGTGGTAAAGAGATTTATCAAGATGCCCTGAGTAGAAGTGGCAGGTCACCTTGACATTCTGTGTCCTTACAACAGTATATACCATCTTTGCCATCCTGGAGTACACTGTTGTCCTAACCAACATGGCATTCCACATGACCGCCTGGTGGGACTTCGGAAACAAGGAGCTGCTCATTTCCTCCCAGCCAGAAGAAAAAAGATTCTGAATCCTTTCTCCTAATGATCAGGGGAGGAAGGTCCATTGCCCGGAAACAAGATGATACTTTGACCTTCCCTACTTGTGTCCTCATTGGGTCCTCCTGAAGTGGGTGGGGAGAAGGGAGGAAGGCCATAGGACAAGGCTTTACTACAGTCCTGCTGGCTTCTTTCTCCCACTTTCCACATGGCTTCAGAGCCTTTAAGAAGCACCATCCCTGTCTGAGAAGTCTCAAGAAGCTGGCCTGGGAGGAGAGCTCCACCTTCTGGTGCTAAAAAAAAAAATCCTAGGGTTCATAAACATCCCAGTTTTTAATCCTTCGATAGCCACTTATCGCTGAAATTGGGGAACATCAATCCACCTTAAATCCACAGCCTTTCCTCTCCATGCAGTTGTCTACTTCACGTCTTAAGGCCTACACTCACTACACATCTAGACCTAAGTTTGCCTTGGTGTTCTAGTCCTGACAACTTTTTGGTGCGTGCCTTTGGGGTATATACCCTTCCCTGTCTGAACCTCAGTATGCCCATTTGTATAATGGGGGATTGGTAGGCTATGTGACTCCCAAGGGCTTCCAGTGTGTGGTTTTTGATGGCACTGATGCAAGTGTGCTGCTGTGTTATCTCCGGGATGACCTGCTCCAGAAAAGGAACATGTATTTTTCTTCCCAACAGAAATCTGGCTTATAGACATTTTCCTCCCTTTGCAAAGGTATGGGGAGGTATCAGAATCAAGATTTCCACCCCAAAATGGACTCCCCGGAATCTTCCCCTATCCTATCTATTGCCCCAGAGCTCTTTTGGTTGTATATTTTATTTCAAAGGAGAATAAATATTTTTTTTTCAAACTATGGATTAGGTCTGCTAGTCCTTGGGGCTAATCTCTTTGATAGGAATTAAAGTGAGAGCAGGGTTTGGGATTGAAGGAGTAAATTCATAACAAAATAGAATTCCAAATAGCACCACTCTTACAACTGAGGTGTTCTGAGGCTGGTGAATGAGAATTAATCCATCTTGTAAGAACTATGCAGTGACTAGGGCAGTGACTTACAGCTATCTTTCTGAACCCTCTATCAGGAAGTCTTCCTCCATGCTTTGCATCCTAGTCCACTACAGCATCAGTGACTGGGCTCTAGAGAAAGACTGGTACCTCCAAGGGAGCCCAGAGCTTTGTTAGGGAAATTGGGGGTGTGTGTGTGTGTGTGAAGTAATCACAAAGCACACTATTGTCTCCTGTCCCCTCTTGCAGGAAACAAAAGGTTCCCAGTCTCTGGGGAGCCCTAACCCAAGCCCAGTCCTACCCAACCCCCACTGCCTAGCACACAGGGAGGAGCCAAGGCCACTGAAGACAGGAGGTTTTATTGATGCTGATGGGGGTGGAAAAGGCCCCCCAGGAGCACAGGGGCTGAGTCAGTCAGCAGATGCGTAAGGCCAAGGCACAAGGGGCAGGTTAGGGCACATTCATCTCAGGATTCTGTCTTCCCTAAGAAAGGGTGAGAGCATCTTGGGGGCGGAGCAATTCCAAGAGCAGCAAAGGCAAATGCTAGGGACTGCTGAGCACCCCTAACCTGAGGCATAACAGGCACAAACACCTGTGTGGAAAAGCTGCATGAACTGGTCAGTAGGGGATAATAAGGAGAGGGCCCTGGGCTGGCTTCTTGGAAGGGATCCAGCCTTTACCTAGATGAGCTCATGGGAATACTTGGTGTTCCCAAATGCAGTGTGGCAAGGCCTAATGCCCCCTTCCCTGCAGGCCTCCTTAAAGGTAAAAGGCATTCAGAGAAAATGGGGTTCAGGGACCCCCTGGCAAGGGGTGCCAGAATTAGTCCTTAAGGCACAGCTGGGGGTAGACAAGGCACCAAGGCACAACTGGTAGGGGGGCAGGGACAGCCTCCAAGCTGAATGCCAGGGTCACAAGAGGATGCAGGACCGCCCACGCTTGATTGGCGTGGGGTTGAGCACAGCCCGGACAGCCTCGGCAAACACCTCTTTGACGCCGTCCTGCTGCAGAGCAGAGCACTCGAGGTAGCGCACAGCATGGATCTGCTTGGCCAGTGCCTGGCCCTGCTGCGGGGTGATGGGCGCCTGGCCCTGCTCCTTGAGGCGACGTAAGGTGTCAGGTTGGGCCCTCAGGTCCTTCTTGGTGCCCACCAAGAGGATGGGCACATCAGGGCAGTGGTGGCACACTTCTGGATGCCACTTGTGCCGCACATTCTCGTAGGAAGGCGGACTGGCAATGGAGAAACAGATGACAAAGACGTTGGTCTGAGGGTAGGAGAGTGTGCGGAGGCGGTCATACTCCTCCTGGCCCGCCGTGTCCCACAGGTTCAGGTTCACTGTGCGCCCATCAACTGCACTCTGTGCGCTGTAATTGTCGAACACTGTGGGGATGTACTCCTTGGGAAAGGCATTAGTTGTGTAGCATATGAGCAGGCACGTCTTGCCCACGGCTCCATCGCCCACCACCACACACTTGATGCTCTGCATCCTGGTTGTAACAGCTGCAGTGGAGGCAATGCCTCCCCTTTCTTCTGGTCTCCTCTGGTTGCAGTTATCTGTGGATAGAGGAGAGAGAGACTCTTTAGGGAGGCTTCTGCCCATTATCAACAAAGGATAGAGGCACACAGAGGGAAACCAGTTCCTGCTGCTTTAACCTGACACCATCATACACAGAGACAAAGATACCAAATGAGAGGTTTTGAAATTTAGCAAAGATATTCAAGTATGAAAACACCAAAGGCTGGCAATAAAATATGATATGAAGTATGTAAGCTCTGGGGCCAGACTGATTTGAGGTCAAATAAGTTCTATTATTTCCTACCTGTGTGATCCTGTACAAATTATTTAACCTCTCAATGCCTTAGTTTTCTTATCTGTAAAACAATGGGGATAAAACAATACCTACCTCACTAGGTTGTTGTGAAGATAAAGCAAGTTAATATATGTAAAACAGCAAAACATCTGGCCATAATAAGAACTCAGTAAGAATTAGCTATTTCTTCTTTTTATCTGGTCAATAAAAGTAGTGTAGAGAAGCAGGCTGTTCAAATGTAGGCGTCTACCAGGAAACTGGAGGAATTCCGGCACAGGACAGTTGTCCAGGTAACTTCTGAGATGCCACAGGTGGAAATCTACCAACTCCAGGACATTTACCCAGTGCAACAATATTTCCAATTTCCTGAAACCTGACACCTTGGCTACTGAATGCAAAACAAAAGGCACAATTAGAAGCACACTGAGTTGTTCCTTTTACTATATGCTATCAAGTTGACTAAAACTCACAACTACCCTTTTAACAGATTAAATAACCTTGCCTTATCCTGTACCGTTCTCACCATGAGTTCACTGTTACAGTCACTGGGTCAGTCTGTCTTTCTGTGAGCCTCCACCTTTCCTAGCATGATGTCTTTTCCCAAGGACTGGCCCCTTTTGAAAACATAGCCAAAGTATGAGATGGAATTTCACCATCCTTGCCTCTAACTGAGTACCCTCATTGCAATTCCTCCAAGACAGACTAATACATTGGGTTGTTGCTGTCAAGTGGGAACCAACCCATAGCTGACCCGCTGGCAGGTTTTCAGAGGCAGGTAATCGCATGGGAGGAGACTGTTCACCTTTCTCCAGCAGAGCAACTGGTGGATTCAAACCATGTGCCTTAGAGATTGCAGCTTACCATTAGGCCATCAGAGCTCCCTTGTACACTGAGTAGGGAACACAATTCTCTAGATACTTCCCAGACCCAATCCAGAGTGTTCTAGAGATAGGGACAAACTTACCCCATCATTCGTGTAAGCATGGACAACATATCCAGCTACTTACACCCTGAACAACAACTCAATGCAGAAGAATACTGGAGAATGAGCAAGGATACGATTTGAACTTGAACACTAAATTTTCCCTTTAATCATCTCTTTCTGGAAGATTTTTCTGAAGAATTTTAGGGACTTCTAGCCTCTTCGGTGAGCTCTGGTGGCATAGTGCATAAGGAGCTGTGGGGCTAAAGGCACATGGTTCACATCCATGAGCTGCTCCACAGGAGATAATATGGTCAATCTCCTCCAGTGTGATATACTGCCTCTGAAAACCCACTTTGGGGGGTTGGACCAGCAAGTTGTTTCTGGCTTGATGGTACCTAACAAGAAGCCTCTTTGATAGAGAACATAATGCCATTAAAGCACTGTCACCCAGAATGATAAGGATCAGTCATGGGTTCTAATCACTGCTCTACCAATTAGTCATGTATGATTCTTGGCAACGTATTTAAGTTCTTGGAGCTTTAATTTTTCTCATCTGTATAACACTGCCTACTATATTAGAACAGCTTAGAGTATGACATGAGATAGTATGTGCAAAGTGAGGCATGGTAAAGGAAGTGCCCAATAAATAGGTTACTGTAATTATTAGTGGGTAAGTATGAGAGAGGAAGTCAGTTCCAGCCACCACCCTGATCTCCACTGCAGCTTTCAGGCCTCTGGGGTGAGGAACTGCTTTTCTGAGTTCTGGGACAGGACAGAGCTTCCGGAAACCCTGTGATTATTTATACTATTGTGGCAAGGGTCCTCCTCTTATCGGCTACTTCCTCTAGGCCATGGGGCACTTCTGCGGGCCAATATGTGACTTCCTTTCCCTGCTTCTCTCCCACAAGATCCCTCCTTGCTAGAAGGGGTCAGTCTTGTTTTAGAAAATCTTCAAAGTATGCCTGGCTCCACTCAACTTTTACCACTGACCCATCTTCTCCATTTTATTCTTCATAAAGAATATTCTTCATTTTATTCTGTATTGTATTCTAGGAAGTCGTTAGCCCCACTGTCTGGCCTCTTAACCACTGATTCAAAAGCCTTCACAACCAAAGATAAAAATTCCTTTAGTGAGAAATGGTGCTCTTTGGCATCATGGGGGTTACATAAAGCCCAGGGTTTGGCCCCAGCTCTCTTTCAGGAAAACAGCTTTTCCTGGGGTCAGTTGGAAGAAAAATGGTTTCTCTATAAGGATGCCTCTTTAATTCTCATTA